TCATCCGTGGCAACGGTTTCCTTCTTCGAAGACAGATAAATAGGAACAACCCGCATGGACCCACAAGGGAGCTATATCGGTGTAAGAATGAATAAAAATAATAATCAATCAATGAATATTTCGAACAACGTGACCTCGCTCAAGCCCAGTCGAGTCTGGCCACGCTCATCACTTGCGTCTACAGCGCCTGTACCTCCTCGCTCCACATACTTCCGAATCCAGGTCGGTCGGTGCTGACCTCATCACCTTCAATCGAGATGGAAATTGTGCGTTGGGCGTAGGGTCAACAATCCACGTGATTTGCTTCGAGGATTTACTGGCTTACTTTGCAAGGCAGTCCATCACCTCTTGAGTCATCTCACAGGGCAGCATATCGGTATTGGCCTGCTGTAAGTATGATGCTACCTGCAATTGTGATTTAGCATGCCATCATTACACAGCCCTTCGTCTAGTGGGTAGGAGGCGCATTGTCTGATCGTGACAACAGCCTTCTCTTGCTACTCTTTCCCAAAGCAAAAGCGGCGTCTCTTCTCTTCAGATGGATTTCTAACCTTGTTGCGCAATTGTTGTGTCTCTGTGCAATTGTTATGGTGCTGCAACGGTTCAAAAGGTGGGAAATTTCAGCCTCGTGTTCCCAAGCTCCAAGCCAGGAGCGATTTATCACTTCGCTCATCTTCGAGTCTTGCAACGATCGCCTGGGTAGTTGTTCGCCCTCGTCGACTTCTCGTCAATCCCTGAGAGTCTTGGGCCTGCTCTGGCACATTGATGGCGAGCTCCTTCGCAGCGGTACGAAATTGTGGTGATGACCACTTTGATGACCTTGACATTCACACATGTCAATGTGCGAAGGCAGATCAAGAGAGGTTGGGATTCACACTTCATAACTTCCCTGATCCGATATTTGCCTGCTGCCATCGGATTCAAACACTTTGTACTTCTATCAAGGGTTTTATGAAGTAGACGTGGGTATTGATGTTCGTGACTCGAACCTGTCAAGTAGCGCATTGTCCCCCTCACTATTCGTGTCCTCGCTGTCGCTGCCGTAAGCTTGCTCTAGCTGCCAAGGGCGGCTTCAGTCGACTGCTCAATGGCTTTCTGCTTGACTGAAGGCTCTACTTCACTGAAAATGCTATAGACGCTTTGCAAGTGGAAACGAGCGTTATGGGTGGGTCCCATTCGATCCTTACAGTGATGTGCCAAGTGTCGAGCCTTCTTTTGGCTGCAGTGTTGATGGAATCCGCAGTTGAGCAAGTGTAGTCGAAGACTGACTTCACTGGTGCGGGCAATCTTCCACAACTTTTATAATCGGTGTGACTAAGTGATTGCGTGAATAGCACTCGGCTGGCCACCCTATACATCAAGGTAGCTAGGTAACAATCCCTATCGTATCAGGAAATACATCGAAACATAGGAGAGCTCCATCAGATTTTGATTCGAAGAGGTCTCCATCAGATTCACTATCTCTTCGCAGCTAACGACTTGGCTCGATTGACAGGTCTGCTGAAATTCAACACGATGCTAATAATCCCATCAGGCAAACCCTGGTCTGATGGCCTGGCTCCGAAGATCTCTCTCGTATTGAACTGGAGCTCAGAAGGCAACACATTGTGCAGGCCAAACACTGGAGGCTTCGATGGTGCTGAGCGCAAGATGACGCCCGGAACTACCGAGCTGATACTTTTCTCTCCATGCAGCCTTTACTGTTACATCAATCGGCCTGCTCCCTATACATATCTATGGGTTGGCAAGGAAAGGAAAAGCGGGGCCAGAAGGTGAATCTAAGGAACGAGCGTGAAGAGCGCCCCGGACTCGTTCTCGATGCTGGCGCAAGGTCGCTTCCCTTGCCTCTATAACTATAAAACGCTGTGACCGGAAATTCACTTGCTTTTGCATGCCAACACCGATGCTGAATCTCAGCCCCAATGATTTCCATCGTTTCACGCCAAAAGTGTGCGCCACTGATCATGCACACCACTCTAATAGCCAGAATGTCCACAGATCGTGGACATGACTGTAAGGGCAGAGCGTAAGCCGCCGTCGGAGGAGGGACTGTCGCTCTCGGCACAGATACTTAGGACCACGGAGAACAGGTTAGGGACCCGCGCCGTCCACCCGAACTTCGGCCAACCCTGCGACACGCTCCCCAGGTCAGGTGAAGGAGCGTGCGAGACCACTCCAGCACGCTTTCCCGCGTCTTGGGTAGTTTCTCCGTCATCTTCACTATTCAGTGTGTGAAAAGCATCGCACTCCCCCTTTAAAATCTCTTCCGCACACCGTACCATTTCCTGCTCAAAACCATGGCGCTCCCATTTAGTCCATCGCTGCGCTGCCCGCCGTATCTCCGCCAACACCTCTGGCAAATGTCTGTTGCGACTGAGCTTTTGCATCGCGCAGAGGTCGGATAGTTCGTTGAAACGAGAGTTGTAGTACGCCTCTATGGCCTCATCGAAATCCTGAAAGCCCGCAGACTTGGCGCATTCTGCGATGTATTTCATGCGTTCCTGTTGCGAAGCATGAGTAGCCGTGCTGCGGCCGGAACAAGGGGACACATCCGTGGCGTCTACGTCTGCGATGACAGAATCATTGCGCGAATGGGTCTTTCGATGGCCATCGTCGACCTCGAGATGCGGAAAGTCACATTGGCTCCAGTCGATCGTACTCGTGGTCGGCCCACACAGTGATGTGACGGGGTCGATATTTGGCCCGGTAAAAGCAACGTCCATCGGGTCGAGCTCACACTGCAATGTCGTTTTGATCTGGGCCAAAAACTCGTCTTCCAAGACATTCTGGGCGGATGCAGCCGGCTCACGGTCGAACGAGAAGTTCACGAAGTTATTATCGTCGCTGGGAAACAGGACGGGAAGATCGACGCCAAGGTCGATCTCGTGGAAGTCTTGACCATGTTGCTGCTGTTGCACGACGTTTGCATTGGCATCATGCACAAGCACAGACTGACGCGGAGACGCATCGTGCCGCGAGCGGGTTCGGAGTGGATCTTGTAGTGCGGAAGGTGAAGGCCCTGTGTCCGCGGAGAAGGCCGCGTTGCTGCGGCTGCTCCGCGTGCGGGAGCTGCCACCTGCCGTGCTGGTAGACAGACGGCGGCGACCGTTGCTCTCGGAGGCACTCTCGGGGTCGGTTGAGTCTGCGATGTCATATGGCCGATATTCCGCCCATTCGGCAGATCCGCGCGCGGACCACGGCGCCTGCATTGGCGGTGACGGAGCGGTCTGCTTGTCACGGGCTTTGGAAGACAGCGCTGGCGGGCCGGCCGGCGAGACCCGTAACGGGCTACGTGGCCACTCGTCCGCCTTGACCCACGATGGTTCTTGGTTGATGTGGTGCCGAGGGTCTTGACCGGCATGCCAATTCGGAGATGACCGCCCAACCGCTTGCTGTTCGTGCATGCGGACTTTGGCTTCGAGCTCCTCCATCCGGAGCTTCTGACGCTGGCCTTTTGCAATTAGTTGGGCCGGGCGCGCTTGGCAAGGAGCTATGGAGTGGTGACTTACGATACAATCTTTGCGCGTTACGATTCTGCATCCGCTTCTTCGCGACCGAGTCCAGGGCCCCTTCGAGCTGCTCGCCGTGCCATGAGCTCGTACTAGGAGGCATCACTGCCGCGTGAGTCGGCGTTGGTGTCGGCGCGTGAGATCTGTGGGGGGGCGTGGGCGACTACAGCATGTATGACCGACTGGCACGCGAGGAGATATCTGGATTCTCCGAAAGATGGGCGTGGCAGAGCCGGCCATAGGTGAAAAGATACACGATGTGGTTGAAGGGTGGCAGACGTGTGAGGAAAGGCTGGCAGTCAACAAGTGTGATACGTTGCCTTCAGCTGACCGGGATGATGACTTGTTGGGAGCTGCTATTTCACGCAGTCGCACCGTTGAACTTGGATTAATGCCGTCATTCCACCTACAGTTCAATCCCAGGACTGACATGTGCTGAGAACCAACAACGCGGCAGATCCAACAACGCACGCTACGCGGCGCTAGAACGCGGCCGAGGTGCAGCTTGTGAGTAGTGTGTGTGCTATGTGCCGGGTGGCCCGACCAATCGTGCGTCCCACGCACCGCACAGGCTTGTGGCTGTCGATCTGCTTCATCGGCTGCGTCAGAGGCGGCGTTGGATCGTCGGCGCCAGAGCCGCGCTTGTCCTGCAGCTCCCCGTGACAGCTCTGACAGAGCCCGCACGCATGAGGAAAGGTTTCCGTCCAGGCCGCCCGTCGCGCGCTCCTGTGCAAACGGGCGGGCACGTGGTTGGCCAGGATGAAGAGCCCCCTTACAAACAAGCTCTCCAAAGATCGGTGTGCTCGTTCGTGGGACGCCTAGGGTTTGAGGGTCGCTCTTTGCCAGTACGTAAAATGTTCGTGGACTCATGCAACGGCGTCATGCAACCTCCGGCAGGGAACTGTTCCCCCACAGTACAACGTGGGTCGGCTACCCTCGTGTCAAGCCGATCTTGTACGAATCAAGCCCTCGTTTTGCTCGACGCTTAGCTATGTAGTAGGTTGTTGGCTCATTCGCGATGCTCTGCCCTCTTTTCAGAGGAACAAAAAGGGACCAACACTAAAATCACCTCAATCTATCCTTTCTTTCCTTGGTTTTGACCGCATGTAACGGGCAAGTCAGATGCCACAACACCGATTGCTTGCAGCACGTGTCTGAACCACTCAAATGACGACAATTAGGGCTGTGGACGTTGCGAGCTCAATCTTTACGACTAAAAAGAGCCAATTCAGCTGGGAGAGATGTCGGGCTGAAAATTCGTTTCCGAGCGTTCCCCGTCCTTGGCTATAGTGTCGGAAGCATGGTCGTGAGGGCCCCTTCAACGCGCACCTCTACCATTACTCACGATCGATTACATGTTACTGTCGTCACCCACCATCTGCGCTCGTGGGGTCGGAGTATTAATCCCTCCATGATGAAATCATCGTGGATCGGCTGACAAAATAAAGCTCTGACGCTGACGACAGGCTTTTACCCGATCGGCATCCTCATGCCTTCGAGACTTGTATGTAAATGGTACCAACAATGCCAGCACTCACAGAGCTTGGTAGCTACTTGGGATACCCGGAACAAATCGCTGCACATCGCGAGCTACCGTCGACAAAAAACGGTACGTTTTCCGCAGGTTTTTGGCACGACAATGATATCCCAACAAACTGGCCGCAGCGGAGTGGAGTAGACGTCGTTGGTCGCCTTAGCTTCACTCAGACGTTCTGGGCTCAGGCGTCCAGGGAGATCCTACAGGCAGTAGTGGCATAGCTCCATGTACTAAAATATGCAGGCTCCAAAACGACGCGTTGTGCTGACCCCAGAGACGTTCTTTGCCAAATATTGTTTACGACTTGAAACAGACGTACAGCTTACTGTTTACAAGCGAGCGGGCAGGCAAGGATGGGAACGATGTTTCCCCTGCATGAGGTATATAATAAGCTGACTGCGTGTTACTACTATAAGCCGCCAATTCGGGTATGCAGATCCGCGGCAACTCCGAGATCCCACGTGCGGGTAGACAGTCGCGGGTAGGGCCCTGCCTGATGTTGGAATGGATGGAAGTAGTCAAATAGGGGACGCCGATACGTTTAGAACTGATTACCATATTTGTCAAGGATCATAGTCATTGGACATGTACCTGCACGCACATATGTAAAGTTTGGCGTGGATCTGACGTTACCGGAGCTGCCGAGTCGATCTTTACTTTGTATGGCGCCCGATCGTGATACTCGACCAATAGAGATTGTTAAACAGTCACATTGTCTTCCTCGGTTTGAGTAGCTAAGGCGTCCAGTCAGCTGCAAGCTTTATTGCCCTGCCCCCACGATCGGGCTGGCATTTTTTCCCGCCGCCGGCACTTATACTTGTTGCAGCTTGGCGTTCGGGTGTTAGTGATCTGACTTTTAGGCCAGAGGTCGACGTGGTTGGGAGCTGGCGTGATGATCTGCGGGGCCACGAGTCTCCGATTTTGATCCCACTGCTGCAGCTGGTCCGACCAACGCGGGAGAACGATCTTTGCGTGCCAACACCAGCTGACCCAGCATAACTCGCGCATTTTTCGATCTAGGTAATCGCGTGGTCAGCACATGTTGGCCTGACTCTAGTTCTTTACTTTGATGGAACTAAATACAAAAAGATATTGCCCCGGGTTCACACGCGCTACTCCAGTCTCTGAGCAAAGTAGGGAAGCACAGTAGTGAAGTCGAGTGTTATCGGCACGCCATCCGATCATGCTAGACAATCGAATCAACCCTCGGACTCAAGCCCGCAAGGACCTTCGCCCACGCCTTAGTGGTGACTGGCAAAACTCGAACCTCAAATCTGGCAAACGGAAACAAAGCCATGCTGCGGAACGATTCTACCGTGAGTGCACCGGAAAGCAGTTCCTGCCAGATCAGCTGCACTGTACTGACCTTGATCGTGCAAGGTCAACCTGTGAAGTCTCACATCAGGGATTCCCAATCAAGAACGGACCAGCACGAGCATGCAAGAACGTATTCAGACACGTCCGCCGCTTTTGGAGCCCCTAGAACTATCTCAGAGTCTCTCACAGACACTCAAAGTTCCAGTGCCGCCAAGACTGCAGACACGCAGGCTTGTAACATCACGCCCTACGCTGTACCATCATGGCACCAAGTTACTCAGGATGATATAAACACCATGATCGACGATTGCCATTATAACTATCCTGCTTCAGGAAAAGAGAGCTTGGGTCTACGCACAAAGAAAGGTGTCGATTCAACCATGGATACAAATGGCGCTCAGGGGGGAAAGGAGGGCACGCTCAAAGGTGTTATGGACTATACCGGTCTGTCATCACCGCCACAAATGCAACCCATGCCACAGTTGCAGACCTTGCCACAGGTGCAAACGTTTGTTACCAATGGCCCCAACGACTCACTGCACAACTCCTCCAGCCGTAAGAATGGTCTCAACAATACTGCGGCGGCGCTCACGTCTTTCGACGGTAAGCAGGTGTGCTGAGGCGCGTGTGTTACAAAATCCTCTGACGCTGACATGTCCAAGTGTCGGGCGTGGACCACATATACACGAATGGAGCGACCGATTTTTCTTTTGGCAACGCCGACAGCGACTGGCTTCAGTGGGGTACAACTGACTCCGTAAATACGGGCACGACGGGCCACACGTTTCCGATGGAAGCAGCGGGACCCGCTGATGGCAATGATGTCCTAGAGCGGGCGTCTTCACAGCGGATGTTCACGCAGCCTTACAACCCAATCCCCGAGCTTGCTAGTCAGTCACAAAGTAGGCCCCTTCAAGATCAACCGCTCGAAGACCGGATATCTTACGTCCTGCAGCAGGCTGCATTGGTCGGGTTTCCGAGCCTGGATGCGCTTGCTGCAGATTATTACACCGCAAGCTTCAGCGAGACTTCGCCGCTTTTCAGCGATCAGATTTTGAGCAGGAATCGTCGCTTACCCAAGCTGATAGCGACCATCCGTCAAGCTGCGAAAGATTGGAGCGAGTGGGAGCGAAGAGGTTACCAGCAAGACACAGTCAAGAGCGCAGAAGAACTGCTACTAGCAGAGTTCACCGCGTTCAAAAACAGTTCGAGTTTCTCCAAGTGGGTGAGCCTAGTGGATAAGGAGGAACCCGAAGATTTGACGGATACAATCGTAAGCGCGAGACAGATCCTGCAGGAAGAGGTAAATACACTATTTCCACTCCATTGCAACGGCCATGGCCAATGTTTAATTTTTGAAATCGAATCTGACTATTCACAGGCACCTGACCTTTGGGCCCTCAACACCACTCTATTGAGGACAGCACCGATTTCTAGTCAGAGCGACCGGGTGCAAGCCACATTAAACATCATCAAGATTCTAGTGGGCGTCGTCGGTAAACCGGGGTCAAAAGGGCACCCACCCGAACAGGGTGCGGGCTCATGACGCTCAACACGCTTTAGCAGTGTCAGCGCAAAATCTATAGATGGGCGTTTGGTATGAGGCTACAGGACTATATGCACGACGTAATGAAATACCGCAGAGGTCTCCAAACCGTGGCCCATATTCACTAAGCCTATTATCTAAACTGGGCAGAAGTGCAATACATGGCATTTGGGATGAATCACCGCCAAGCGATCACATGGTGTTGGAGGATTCACGAGACATTGATGACATCTTGTTCGAGGATCTACCTTGCAAGACTTCACGAACTTGAGGGGTTTGTGAAATTGTGATTGACCCTTTGCGTTCATCCATCCACGATTATGTGTGTAGCATTAGTGATGGCTGGAGCCTTTTTCGGCCATCTCGTTTCCCTGCGTCGGCGTACGCCGCCGTTCTGATCGGCCTGGAAGGCCAATGCATGAGAGCGGTGCCAAAAGTTGTTATTACTATGCGCCAATAAAACTGGTTGCCCGCCGTGGACCTGCCATTTCACCGCCTGGGCGACCTCGCAGCGGGCTGCAGGTCTCGAACGGCTTTGTTAAGAGCCTTAGCTAATTTTAAGGAAACCCACACTCGAGATCTGTAGGATCAGTGGAAATGTACCTAAGTCACTTAGACGACTAATTAAGTTCTCAGACATCTAAGCTGTTGACCAAATTACTTAAAATACTAACTATATTGCTCCAACTATGAACTGAAATACTCAAACTATCAACTAAGTTAAAGTCCCATCCTCAATAGACACAGTTCTGACGAGGGCATAAAGCAGCGTAGCTACAACAACTGCAAACTAAACCCATCGATCTGTGGGCGTACTCCATAGGTAGACGAGTCCCAACAGTCAACAATCAACCCTGCCCTTGCGGATAACACTCCCAAAACGTCCGCCACGTAGTCAGAGGCTGCAACCGGTGTTCGAAGAACAGACAGCTATAGCCACGTCCAGCACTGCAGCCACTGCTTCGAGGAACTTTGAAACTAGACCAATCTTAGCCGGAATATGAAGTTGGTGATCCAAGGAGGCTTCCTGGGGAGTCTAGCTTGGCGCCCGCGACAGAGGCTTTTATCAACGAGCGGATCGCAGTGCGCTACTCAGTAAGGGTGAACATGGAGACACACATGTCTAGCGCACATCGCCGGGAAGCGCTTTAGCTACAACCAACAGCAACACGACGAAGGTAGAGAGTTTTCACTATGTACTTACATTCTCCCTCTACATAGAGTAGCTGTCTGCATAGGGCCTTTGGTCCTCTATCGAACGTAAATCGAACTTTTTTTATCTATCTATGTGAGTGAATTACTTCAGCTATGGACTGACCTCACAACTAAACGAATTACTTGGAGTCTCAAGCAAATTAGAGGCCGAACATTCACTAGGTCTTATCTAAAGCTTGCAACTTATGTGAGTCCCAACTATCATTTCAGGCCACTTGCACACACGCCCCGCAGGGTTTGGCTTCTCTCCTAGGTGATCTGGGCTGCGTGTCTATGACGCCCCCCACCACCTCATTCCGCAGCCGACCCTGTAGCCACGTTTTCACTTGGGAGCATGCAACGAGCCCGTGACGAGTGCTGCAAAGGGGAGCATGGAAATGCCACTTTTCCATCTCGATTGGCTAGCTGCGACTCACTGTAACGAGGTAGTCCTCATACATTAGCACATACAGAACCCCTTCGACCCATCTGTGACGCTTCTAAGCGATCGACCAGCACAATAGGCAGACTTGACGAATCGAATTTGAGAGTGGTGGAGCAATGGCAAGCTGTCATCATATCGAGCTGCTAGTATTACTGAAACTGACGAAGGAGCCTGATGCTACAACTGTGCGGATAGTTTCTTTCTTACGCTCAAGAAATGGTTACCGGTGGCATGGTTGGCGCTGGGAACACCACCATCTTTGGTGTTGAACATCCCATCCGAAGATGCCTTACGATGATTACACAGACATGCACGCGGTGATTGTGATCTAAACGTCGTCGTACTTAGTGAAAAACTGTTCAACAGAACCGGTGAGTACGACTTCAGGCTGGTGACAAGGTCAATTAAAGATCTTGCCCGATATGTCATCTGTCGATCTTGATGTGGACACGCTGATACCACATCTAGCAATTGTCTGACCAAAGTCGACGGATCGGTTGTCGACGCTGTTCACGCCAAATATTGCGCTAAAGTGTATCTTATCGAGGAGAAACTAACGTTGAAGATAGCAGATCTAAGAGTGGTGTACGAAGTCGCTCTGTTCAATTCGCGATATTTTGTAAGTGACCGACTCATGCAAAGTCATTTACTGCGCATTTGTTGTGTTGGCCAATCTGTCCACTGTCGATATTCTGCGTCCAGCTGAGACTGCACCGCATCGAGAGTCCAATCACCCCAGCCTCTCATCCACCACGAAGCCTCCTGCAGCTTGAAAAGTACCGCAAAGTACGCAAGAATGACCAATGCCAGCTGATCACGGTCAGAGATCAGGTCGAGCACGACGGCAGGAATGGTAGCGGTCCAGCTCAAGGTGATTGCCACAGAGAACATCTCACCGCTTCGGAGAAGGTGGTGGATGTTAGTAAAGACTAAGTCAAGCTGCTCAATGGCTTGTAAATATGGGTCTCGAACATCCGAGTCGATAGGCACTTTCTGCTCCACTAGACCCTTGAGGCGTAGCATCTCGGAACCTGCATGTCTCTGCTCTCCGCCGACGCTCAGGAGGATCGGGGCGACTTCCGAGGCCAACAGACGTGTCCAGTTCTGTTGTACCGTCACCTTTTGGCCTTGGACGAGCCTCATCCAGTCGCAGAGATTTGCCACTGGATCAGCAGGCGGATGAACTTGCGCAAGGCCTAGACTGTGCACGACCAGCAATCCGGATGCTGCGAAAAGAGGCACCTGTTAGGTCAGGCCGGATCAGGCATTTAATAAGCGCGACTTGGGAAGAAGAGAATCTTACACAGATAGCGGGATCGGGGACTTCGATATGAGTGCGAATCGCTGAAATGGCCACGTCCATATGGCTGCTAGACTGGACCATGAGGCGTTGGCTCTCCGCCGGGAACACCCCTGCCTTGTGCACTGCGGCCACGGCCAGGATACCATGTAGGAGAAAAGGGTGGCGAAAGCTAAGCTCGACCAGACTGGATTGCCACACGTGCTGTTGGCTTTTCGACGATACCGTCAGAGACGTACTGGTATACCAGAAATGTAAGAGCTGCAAATCGGTAATGGCGAGTTCAGACACCGCCGCGGTCGATGAGATTGAGGTACTTCGATCATTGCCTGGGCTCAGACCGGGGCTATTAGGCCATTCACACGAGCTGCCGAGTCTGAGACACGCGGTGCAGTTGGGTCTCGCTTCATCACACTGACAGCGGGGTCAGTACATGCTGTTAGGCCTGCCCTGTAAGTACTCACCTTCACTAGAACAGACGGATTAGCAATGCAGACTTGGTCTCGGTCTACGTTGGGAAGACGTGCCGTGGCGTTGTTTGCAGGTCAAGCAACCCCTGCGTGACTTGGTGTGAGTCCTGCGCATAATGTTCTAGGGCTTTACACAAGCGAGATGATTTCTGGAGATGGGCACGACCTGCAGACCTATGCTATCCTAGCGTGTCAACGACGTTTGGCTGTTAGATATGCGGAAAAGAGTTTCGCGTCGCATGCTCTTTTGCGATGCGCCACCACCACGCCCACTTTTCTGTACCTTTGTCCTCGTTGGTGGAGGGGGCTCGAATTCTCGAATTTCGCGAGTTGCTCGTACCTAGATGCCTTACTTCTCGAATGAAGTGAAATTGACATGAGCATTATTTTAGCGCGTAAGACGGATTCCAAGGACTTCTCAAAGGCAAGCGCAGCCGAGCTCGATTTATTGACTGTAAGTGACTTCGAACGCTTTAACAAGGCTGCAAGAAAGTCGTTCGCTATGCTATTAAGCCTAGTAAGTAAGTATCGAAGACCTATAGGCTAAATATAACGTGCTCTGTATTTAGTACTAGGTTCGTACTAACTTTTAAACTTTGCTCTATGTTATAGGCGTAGCCTAGTAACATATCTAAAGGCAGCTAGTATATACTTATGTAATTTGGCACGTAATTCGAAATGCTTAGCACTAGAGATCGGAAGTTCTCTACTACTAGAATAGTTAGAATAGCCTTAGAACGGCTAGAACGAGATTGTACGCGTACTTTATAGAATATACGCGTATTTTCTATTCTATCCTCGTAGCGTTACTAGAGAGATATAGTATAACGACGTTAATTAAAACCCTTAACTAAACCTATAACTCTTAGTAGAGGTCTTAATAAACCTGCGAGATCTCGTTCTAACTCGTTCTAGTATGTTCTAACCGCTCTAACCGTTCTAAAGCCGTTTATAGTTCTAAAAAGTCTTAGAACGAAAAAAGTCGCTTTACTACCTAGTACGCGGTTTATAGCACGAAGAGACTTTAGCTAAAGAGCTAACCTTACTTCTAGTCTTCGTGCTATGTCTTATATATAGGACTAACCTATAGGTTAATATAGCTTATCTCTGTCTATCTATAGCCTCTAAGAATAGTAACCTACGTTCTAAAAGCCCCGTTTAAACCTATACCCGTAATATTATATAGCACCTACGTACGCCTCTACTACCTATAATCTGCGTAGAGAGCTAACGGATCTAACTTAAGGCGTTACGAGAAGTCTAATAAGGAAACTAGAGCCTACTTTAGCTGCTCTAAGGCTAGCTACTATATCCGCGACTACCCCTAGCTAGACTACCGTCCCTAATATATATAAGACTAAGATACAATCGCTCGCTATATTAAACGCCTATCTAAACGAGCCGCTACGCCTCTACTAAGTCTACTGCGTAGCTGTTACTTACCTATACGACTAGAGACCTCTTCTATTAAGACGTTGTCGCTCTCCCCTATTCGTTCTATGTCTCTCTGTCTATTATAAAACGGTATACGCCTATCGTAAGCCGTCTGCAGGCGCTATTTTAGCGTATACCTATATACCTATATCTACTACCTACCTGCCGATCGATTGCTACTACGAGCCTACTACCCTCTATTATAATTTACCTAGAGTATAATCGTTTAAGCTCGCTAAAGCTTACTGTCTATATACCTATCTTAGTTAAAACCCCTAACGCCTCTAGGCGTAACCTTGCCCTAAACGATAGGGTCGCCTACCGTTAAATTATAGAAACTGTCTGTTCCTGCTGTTTTAAATACTAGATGCGAGGGGTATGTCGCCATTTATTCTAGAATTTGCCTGAGAGAACGAATTTACCGTATACTCGCTTACGAACCCGCTTACGGTCTCTGTATACGATAAGATAGAAAAGGATTCTACAATTGTTTAGTACGCCACCGTCTGCAATTTAGAAGCAGGGGATCATCCCGAGTGCGGATGGAAGTTGTAATAGAATAGAAGCGGAAAGAGGAAGATTTTCGATCTTTTCCAATTAAGTTACATAGTTTTGTTATTTACCCTTACGAGATTGAGGAGTCGAGCAACGACCCCACTCGACGCTGCTTTTGGAAACATCTACAGACTTCACGCACTTGAAACGCAATTTTACTTTTCTCCTTGCTTGCTGCTGAATGCAGTCTAGTCCATAGACAGCGTGTTCATAGTCCACTATACGACTGTCCTAAACGAAATGTCGACATGCGAGTTTATATCACACAGGGACACAGAGCCTACAGATTCGCAGGAGTGTATGGATTACACGCCTTAGATCCGCCCATTCATCATTAGTCGGACAAGCTTTTTAAACAATCATCTTTGAACGGCAGCATACCAACCCTCTAGGCTATCATACGAGAAGCGCAGACTATCTATTCACGAGCATGTGGTCGAACTTGTCAGCTCTTTGACTCATCCAGCAAGATCTAGCGGTATACACCCAGCACCAAGTCCTGTCTTCCATCAGAACGACGGTGGGGGTTTCCGATTTCCGTCTCCGGTATGCCCTGCATTAGAGTAAGAGTCGTGGAGATGGCGCCCGCGCAAGTTCGCAGGGTTGGACGTCAAGACTGCAAAACATAGCCGGTCACATGAGTCTAGAGATTATCCTTAAGAGGCCCACATTCCAGAACATACGTTTCCAGGATTGCACTGTGCAACATTGCCGACACTGTCTTGCAAGAGTTGACCGTACGTAATCGTCCAGAAGCTCATGCGATACACTACAGCAAAAGAGAGGCTGCTGTAGCAGCACTTGACCAGTTGTCCGCACCCTAACACGACTTTTACCCTGCTCGGCACGGTTAGACTTGGATGAAGTTGGTCTCGTGAGTGGTACAGGTGAGATGACGGGATGCGGATGAAGGATATTGATAGCAGGGAACACCATGTGACTCAGTTAAGGCAAAGGAATTCGAGGTCGACGTCCTACATTTGCGAGGAGCTACCTGACAATGGTTGAACACGAAGCTCCAGCTCTGGTTCTGCTCATCTCCGAGGCCGTGATCGGGAAACAGGCAAGACTTCGTCACAGGTCTTTCAAGGGCAGCGGAGAAAGACCATGCAGTCGACAAACTTTGCTTGCCTCTCAAGCAAGACTGATGCTGGACTTCTTGCAGCCTCATGGCCAACCACGTGAACATGAAATAGTGGACGTGTAAGCCACTCGTAAGCATCTGTCTCTTCTTTCTTATGAACACGGTCACAAATAAGAAGTGAATTACTTTCCATTCTGGATTCAATCTTTGATATGCCCAACGCTCTAAAGCCTTAACCATTTCTGGGCGATGTCGTTGCTATCACTGGAGCAGCATCCGAAATAGACAGATCTACTGCACAGGTGTGATACGCTCGGGGAGTATCCCTCGCCATCGCCGACATTAATGAAGTAGGCCTGAAGGAAACGCATGAGTTGCTGAAAAGCATGGATGCACGTGAGGGTTAACAGATCTTAACTCACAAAGTCGATATTACCGTTGACACAGAAGTCGCTGAATGGATCGATGGCATCGTCTCACAGCTTGGACGTCTTGACTACGCGACCAATATTGCAGGTGGACCTGAGGTTCCCGGACCACTTTCACAAAAGACACAAGCTCAATTCGAGTTCGCAACCAACCTCAACCTTTGCGGCGTGTTCAATTGCATGCAGTCGCAGCTCAAGCACATGAAATCTGGATCTAGCATCGTCAATATCAGTTCGGGGTTATCCATGCAGGGCATCGACGGCATATGAATTTATGCTGCTGCCAAACGAGCAGTGAACACACTCACAGGAGCTGCTGCGAGAGAAGTTGCACCAAGGAACATCCGTGTGAATGCCGTGTCTCCAGGACCAACGTTGACGCCGGCTGCGGCAGTTGCTCACAATCAGAGGCACATAAATGAGCATACTACGACGACGCCATTGGCCAGGTCGGCGGGAGCCGTGGAGATGGCGACTGCTATTGCTTTCTTGCTTAGTGCGGAGGCGAGCTATGTCTCAGGGGTGATCTGAAGAGTAGATGGGAGAGGGTCGAGTCTAAACATTTAAGCTGTTAGTGTGTTAGAACGAACTATCGCGAGCGATGGGGGCATGCACCTCAGTAGCAACCGCCCCTGAGGTTAACATTGATAGATGTGGTCTTTGAACGTTCTCGTGCCGAGAGCCACTCTAGGAAATTGGGACATTTCGGATTGTAATGAGGCCCAAGTGTCAAGATATTGATAAGCAGGCGAATTGGTATAGAGAGGAAATTAAAACCTAAAGACCTTGCTGAGGTCGGTAATAAAATTGATGGAGAGAATAGTCAAAGAAACGACTCATGGCGGCGAAGGCGTGAGCTTAGAGAAGCGCTCCTGTGGCGAGCGTCCCTACGACGGATGCTGCTTGAGCCACTTCCATTATAGTCGCCATCTTCACCACTGCTCGACTCGGATTCTACGGTGGCACCGCTCTCGTTTCCACTACTGTAGTCATCCTGGCTTTGGTCGTCTCGTCCACCTCTTCTAATGGCAGCCAGGCTCTGGGGAAACAGCTTACCATGCCAGCCATTCCACATGAATTTCAACAGCTGCGCCCAATGATTGAGATAGTACTCTAGTGTATTGGGCCGAATCGATCGCCGGAAGGTCTTATTCTTGCCCTCAGGATCTGCCGCGTGCCAGAAGCTACTTATTCGAGCCGCTTGAGGGTCCGTCAATCGCTGCTGAGTTCCATGCCGGCATTCCCGCCAGGTTTGACGGAGGATCGACAGACTAGTGTCTCGAAGAGCGATGAGCGTCGTCGAGTCCTCACTGCGCAGCTTATACGACTCCGCAATCTCATCCTTCTGGAGCCCCGCCGTGTATCGACTCAGACCTAGCTTTTTCATCCACAACTCTTCTCCACTGTTGCTGTTGAAGATTGGCAGCGCCACATTTGCCACCCACTGGGGTATATAGGTCAGGCATGCTCCCACTTGATAGATCCATCAATCAACTCACCTTTG